TAGTGATCCTCCTGTTTTTAGCCTCCCCAGTGCTGGGATTACAGGTGTGCGCCACCATGCCAGGACTCGGTGGCCGGCTCAGCATGCCTGGGGACAGGGCTGGTGCAGCATGTGGTGCCGGGGATCGAACCACAGTCTCTGCGCTTGCCTATGCAGGTGCTTAGTCTGCTGAGCTATCTCGCTGGCTGTCTCAGTTACTCTTCTTTCATTGTTGGGACAAATACCTGACACCCAAAATGAAGGAAGGAAAGGTTTATTTAGCTCATAGCTACTGGAGGCTTCAGTCCATACTCAGCTGGCTCCAAGGCAGAGCGGCGCAGGGCAGAGAGCAACTTTTCATGGCCATGGTGGTGAAAAGAGCAAAATGGAGGAGTAGCAGCAACAGAGAGGAAATCTTCTCCCTTAAACTGCATTCAGGCTACCCGCCCCTGGCTGGGGTAAGTACTCACACCCATATTCCCAGCAGTACTAAGACCCATAATCCTAGTAGATCTTGAGTTAATCTCAAACTCTAGAAATCCCCGCTCCATGACTGCATGAGGTTTGCGGGGACAACGAGGCACAAACCATAATGCTGGCCCAAGTCCACTTTTTTTTTTTTTTTGCAAGCTTTAATCAACAAGATGTTGGGGGCCAGGGAGGTGGCTCAGTAGAATAAGCGCTTGCCTGGCAAGCACAAGGGCCTGAGTTCAACCCCTGGTTCAAAAAACAAAACAAAACAAAACAAAACAAAACAAAAAACCAAAAAAACCAAGATGCAATTCACCATGATGGCAAGTTCTTCTTGCCTATTTTAGCTTGTGAAGAATTATTCGTTTTAGTTGTGATTATTCTGACAGATATAGTAAGCAAAAACTGGAGAAAACCTGGGGTCATTTGCATGTGCTTCTCCCTCTCTGAGCAGCCCTCTCACAGAGCTCCCTGATATTTGGATTTGCTCTGAAAATAGTCTGTTTTCTCATCCACAATGTCTCATCCTGAAGCACAGATAATTCAAGTTGAGAGACGCCGTGTACTGCCCACTCCCGTGCTCAGGGTCTTTATAGACCTTTTCCGTTTAGAATTCTAAAAACCTGCAATCCAGAAACCCATTTTAACCCTTTGTTCGGTTATGTTGTCAAAAGCGCCATTCATTCTTGTCCTCACCACGTAGAAAACAACGGAACTTTCCGCCATGAGGGCAACGTCCTGGCTCTACCCTGTCCAGTAGGCTGGCCATTCACCCCACACAGCTATCCAATTCTTAGGCTGTGGCCATGCCGTATTTACTATTATTTACTAGAGTTTTTTTTTGGGGGGGGGTGTTGGTAGTGGAAATTGAACCCAGGGCCTTTGCACAGGGATACATCTCCTATCCCCTTTTATTTTTAAAATTTTGATTTTATTGTAAATGTGACTATTTTTATAATCTAGCTGAGTCTTTCAGTTGATCGGACTTGGATCCAACTTAGGAGCCCCTGCCTCAGTTTCCCAGAGTGCAGGGAGTAGACAGGTGCACCACCAAGCCCAGCTATTTTTATTTCCTTTTATTTAATAGCTCAAACAAACAAACGAACAAAAAATAAAAATAGCTCAGTGCGACTCGAGTCCACTGTGCTGGGCGGGACAAGTCTGTCGTACCTAAGTAGGGTTCTCCCCCCTCATAATGGGGAGGAAAATGAACATAAACGTGAAACCTACTAGGATCTGGAGGTGGGGGTTGGTCTCACTAAGAAGAAAGCCAGGAACAGCTTTGGGAGGCAGTCTGGAGTAGTGGTTGAGCACGGGAACCTCGGAGTCAGCTCTAGATTCAAGTCCTGCCCTTCCCTATCTACTTTATTTGCTCGAACCACCTGACCTACTTTACCTGCTTGAACAAAGGTGACAGCCTTTCGGGCTAGTCGAGGTAACACCAGCCTTGACCACACGGGGGCGCTGTGGGGAGCAGGCAGGAACCCCAGGAGAGAGCCCCTAGGTCCCCAGGGCCCCGCCTACCTTGCTCTTCTCCCGCAGAATCCTGGAGGTGGCGCTCTGCTCCGAACAGCTCTTCTTCAGCGCCTCCCTGAGCTTCTTCATTTCTTTCTCCATATCTTGGATTTGCTGAAAGAGTTCCAGCCACCGTGAAGTCAGTCTCCCTGGGGCACAGCAGGCGCGGAGAAGGCCAGGGTCCTTGGGGCCCACTCTCCCTGGCCAGATGGGGGAAACTGAGTCTTGCTTAGTTCCTTCCCCTCTGCAGGCAAAGCGGATGCCTCTGCTCTTGGTTTGCCGTGTATTTTTGAGATTAACTGAAATAAAGGCCAATTACGTGGGAAAATGAAAATTTTCTTTTTTCTATGGAGGCAGAGAGCAGAGCTGTCCGGGCATGAGAAGCGAGACCTCCTCCTTGCACCCAGGGCGTGGTACTTCCCAAGAAGTGGCAAAGCACAAGTGAAGATGCCTGTGCGCGTGTGAAGGGGCTGGGCAGCGGAAGGAACCAGCATTATATTTTAGTTTTCATTTTATTCTTATTCTTAATTATTTAATTAAATTTTTTTGAGACAGGGTTTCTCTGGGGTGTCCAGGCTATGCGTGATCTCACTATGGAGCCCAGGCTGGTCTTGTACTCCTGGCGATCCTCCTGCCTCGGCCTCCCGGGGGATGGGATCACAGGTGTGCACTACCACACCTGGCTCCAACACTTCAGTAAAGGTCATGGCTTCATTGTGTTCATGGTCGCCTTTGGCATAAGGTGAATAATAACTGGGCTTTGCGTTTATGAGTTGGTGTGATGGTGTGGGCGGGCCAGCCCAAGTCCTTGAGGAAGTCTGTGTCTGCAGCATGCCTGGGGCTCTGCTCACACAGATGGGGGGACGGAAGGCTGGGGAGCCCAGGACCAAGGGCCTTCCGGAAGCTGGCACTTCTGTCCCCATCTCTCTTTTCCTGTCCTTACCTGGCCCTGGGGGAAGCCATGAGGGAGACAGAGACCCTGAGTAGGGCAGGGTGCATCACACGTGTCTGTTGGGGTAGAAAAGGCAGTGGCCTCAGGATCATAAATCTACGTTCAAG